CTGCAACTGCGCGTCTCGTGGGCTAGACTAACAAAACATTCAAATGCAACAACGTCACTTACATCATAACCGCATCTTGCGCGCCACTGATGACGCTCCCTGATGCACACCTAAAATTCAAATTCAAATGTTTAGTTTAAATTCGACTGATATTCATTTTTTATTCACAATCTCCTCATCACAGGCAGGCACAGCACTCATTTCAGCATGTGTTCGTTTTTGTGTGTGCTGTCTGCGTCACTCATAGCACGTGCCTATATCGAACATTTTTTCTATCGTTATCGAAGAAGGTGTACCGTCGATAAATATCGATACCGTTTTATTGCCCAGGCCTACCTGTGACTCACCAAAATTGGATCTAATTTTATGAACAGAAAAAAAACAAGGGTGGATGAGTGCGTCCAAACGTTACTCCAGGTGTGAAAATGACTCAAACCACCGTGAGACATGTGTCATGTGATTGCGTGCTCAACAGTCAGCATGTTTTCCCACACAAATCTACACGGGAGACGCCGGGGAGCAAACCAATGAAAACAGGAGGGTGCCGAGGCAGGAGACGCCAGCGTCAGGGGAATTCAGGGAGTGAACCGTCCCTGTTTGGATGCAGTTTTAGTGATTAAAAAGTAGACGATGAGACTGGTGCACAAGACAGTATTTGACATTTACTACGAGCCAATTGTGTTGACATTTCTGTCTTTGAAAAACAGAAACCACAATGCCGTTTGCAAAGCTTCCACGCATACGCAAAAGAACAAATCTTGTCAAGTCAACAATGAGCTGGAGAAAGGTCAATCTCAAGTACATACTGAACACAGGCACTTTATGGAGAGGATCACATTTTGTGCTCTTCAATATGATTCATAGAGTGGGTTTACAAGTATGATCTTACACTGATTATGTTTAATAACCTAAGAAAACAAACTTTTTTCATGTTTGGCTTTGCATATCTATTTACAAAATTATGGTCAAACCAGAGTACAAACTTATCATTTGAAACATAGCTATCTTTCCTTCTCGGGTTTACAGATTAAGGGTGATTTTTGATGGTTATCAGTATTGTGCAGATACGTGATATATTAACAGCAGAAAAAACACAAATGGGGAACTGAGGAGAAAATAGCAGTCTCTTAGAGGCAGAAACAAGTGTATATTTAACAGATACAGTAGGGATGCACGATATATCGGCCACCATATCGTAGGGCTGGACAATAATTCAATATCAATATGTATCGCGAATATATATATATATATATATCATTGATAATCTGGTGGGGTTCAAAATCAAATTTAAACCATGAAATAAAGTTTTTGGGATTATCAGTTTTGGGCTTTAAATAAAAAAGGGCTTTACTTAAAGTCTTTATGTATAATACATTACAAATGAATTTCATAATGTACATTGTAACATTATATCTTTTTATAAATAATTGTAACCAAAGTTAAAAGGCATTTGCAGATTCCTTCTCAGATCTGCAATTGGTAGTTTATTTATAATGCATTATTCTTTCTAAAGGCGTAAGAAAAAATATATAAGTATTATAATGTGCTATAACTGAGGTTACAATTATTCATTAGATCATATAATGCATTATAAGGTGCATAATTAATGCATTAAAAATACTTTTATAATGCTTTAGATATAAATGCTTCAAGTGTTACCCAACAAGTTTATGATGTAAATAAGAAATATTTAAGATTCTGCACCACCACCAACAAAAAAATCAATTTTTCTCAATTCTTATATATTATTTTTTTATTATAAAAATGAATAAAATAATGTTTTATCATTATTAACAATTATAAATTATTACAATTAATAAAACAACTTGTTTATTTATTATAATTTAATTATAAATTATTATATTAAATTAAGGCCAGGTTGTGAAGAGATACTCTTCATATTATATAGATATTATATTAAAGATATATTAAATTATTATAATGAATAAAATAAAATACAAAATAGAAGTAAAACAAAAAACTGCAAAATATCAACTTACCATGGTATTACGGTCATCACGGCACTTTTTTTCTAAAAGTAATATTAGTTTTATAATATTTTTTCAAAGACATAATGAGCAATCAATGGCTGGTGTTTGAATATTCAAAATATTCAAAACAAAGAGAACTTGCACCATACATGCATAATGTTAAAGTCCTATTTGACTGATCTAAGAAATCCTTTAGAAATCAAAACATTATTGTAATATGTCATCTAATACCATCCTTAATGCATTCAATTTTGCATATGCTAAACATTTGATGGCATTTATCCTAAACAAATGCTATACATCCTTTACCCCATTTCTCACCTGAAACCCCCACCATCCCATCTGTCATCTACCCAGTGTCCCTGCTATGCTGATGGCTAGCTAGCTGAATCTGGTTTTAACCTGGTTGTCACACCATCCACCTGACAACATGGCCATAAAACTACATACCATAAATGCACACAGTCTCTGGCAGGATGTGAACCCTAATAATCTGATGCTTGTATGATAAATCACATACATCAGTGTCCCTTATCCATGCATAAATGCTAGTTTTGCTAGCTCTATCCATGTGAATCCCAACCACCTAGGAATCAATCAGATGAGACTGCATGAACCGATGTCTTTCCTAACCCGTGTTTCGATTTAAACCCCAAGTTGCTAGTTACCCGAGTCCATGCCATCCGCCGTGCCCGAGTCCTCGGATGCTGCTGCCCCGGATAACGGACTCCCATCCCCGGCCTCAGACAGGCTGGCCGCCCCTTCATCCGCCGCTTCCATTCAATATCCTGGGATGAATCCTCCGACCGAGAGCGCTGTCAACCGATGATAGCGAATATTTCAAAACATACACCGCTTTTCCTCTCAGTTTGTATGGATGTGATTAGCTGCCAGAAACAAGGTGAGAGATTGAGGACTATCCCTTTGCGTCGTGGTCCTCCTCCTCTCTGAGCTGTCATGCACAGGATAGGGGTGTTCGATTCGCGGATGAATCGTTCGTGTGAACAGATTGAATTGAACTGATTCGCCAGGAGACTCGCGAATCATTTTTGAGCTGGTTCTGCTGTTTGTTTGTCAGAAGCGGTTGTAACTTGGTACTAGAAATTAATTAAGAAGGAAAATAAGACAGATATTTTGAAAGCGTTTTACACTATCTTCAGGATGGACTTATAGATTTATATATTGGAGTTTAAACGTATTGCAACAAATGTGGTATTTGGCCGAAAACTATATTTTTGCATTGAACAAACAACACAGCTTTGACACAGTATCTAATTTAATTAAATCAGTGATAAACAGCGCGCTTTTTCTGCCATTAGGAAAACGAACCCGGTGACTATCAAAACAATTGACCGTTTGAACTGGTTCATTGAACCGAAACGAATGAATCGATTCGTCAAGATGAAACGTACTTCCAAACGGGAGCTGCTGAGTGTTTGATGAGGCTGCTCTCTGTTGGTGAATCTTCATTAATGCACGTAGGAAAAAAGGCTTAAAGATGACAGAATTTTCATTTTTGGGTGAACTATCCCTTTAACTCTCATTAACGATTTAAAAAAATATATGATTATGAGAATTCTTAATATTATTATATCAAAGCTGACTTTATAGTTTTCCTAGGCAATCATTATATAAAATATAAAAAAAAAAAAAATAGCAGGATTATTATAGTTAAAAACTAAAACAATTTAAAATGAATTAAACGTTGAAACAAATTTACTTTAAAATAAACTTTAACTGAAATCAAATTTAGATAAAACTTAAATATTAAATAGAACAAAAAAAAATATTTTAGCGAATTGCCAAAGCAGCGTTTCATTTTTTAAATGTAGTTTAATTTTATGTACAAAAATAACTAACACTAAAACACTTGCTCACTGATATCAACAAAACACCAACACATGTTCAAATTAATCTCTTTGCGTTTATTAAGAAATGTTACACTATGACAACATGTTTAGTTCTAAATAAATGTGCATATTTTCTTTTCAAAGCATAGGGGCAGTTTAGGGAGTGGGGGTCTCTCTCCAGAGTGATGCTGGGCACTGATGATGCTATCAGGAGGGGTTGCACGCCAAATGCATCAGGTCTGTTCTTTCCTCAAGAGGGGTTTCCAAACAAACCATCATTAGTCCATGAGACGACATCACTGATACCCAGCTATCGGTCGGGGAGAATGAAGAGGGGCGGCAGGGCAGCGTGCGGTAATTTGACAGTCAGCTAATGATGTTCCTTAGAGATATTTGGACAGATCCTTCTCCACCACCTAAAAGATAAATATTTAACAAAAAATACATTTTGTGTGCAAATATCACTGTTATATTTAGATACTGTAGTTAATCTTAAACATGCCTTAGTTTATGACTCAAACCAGATTGAAATACAATCAAACATTAATAGAAGCTGAACAACGTACGCTTGGATCCTGCAATGGGGAGTATCTCTTCACAACCTGGCCTTCACGGTTAATAAGGAACTGAAAAGAAAACACAAAAATTGATAGCAATTTAAACAATTGTAATCATTTGAATAATTAGTAAATAAGTATTCATATTTAACATACAAGGTTTAAGTCATAACATGCTTTTAATTAGCATAATTCAAAGGGAAAATGCACAAACCTTAGTGAAATTCCATTTGATGCCACTATAATGGAATAAAAACAACAGTCAGCAGATAAGTTAACATAATTTCTAGTACAGCTCTATTAATGGGATAGTTCACTCAAAAATGAAAATTTGACGAAGATTTACTCACACTCAGGCCATCCAAAATGTAAAACAGATTTAGAGAAATGGAGCTTTGCATCACTTGCAAAGTGGATCCTCTGCAGTGAATGGGTGCCGTCAGAACGAGAGTCCAAACAGCTGATAAAAACATCACAATAATCCACACCACTCCAGTCCATCACCAGTTAATATCTAGTGAAGCGAAAAACTTTGTGTTTGTAATAAAGAAATCCATCATTAGGACGTTTTAGCTTCAAACCGTCGCTTCTGGCCAAAATTCCAGTCCATAATCAATAATAAAGTTTTCTCCAGTGAAAAGGTCCATCCGCTATTGTCTTCTCACATATTTATTTAGAACTGTATGATAAACAAATTCATCACTGAGATGTTTTAAATTTTAAACCGCTGCTTTTGGCCAATGATCCATAATAACGCTTCCTCCCTGCAGTGAAAAAGTCCATCTCATGTCAAAATCCTCTCACATCAAAATCCACCGACATACTTGTTTATAACTGTTTTGGACTGTTTTTGCTTGATCTGTGCATATTTCTCTCCTGATTCAGACAAAATGAAGCAATATTATGGATAAAGGATTTCTTGTTTCTAACGAACACACAGCTTTTTGCTTCACAGGACATTAATTAATGGACTGGAGTTGTGTGGATTACTTGTGGATTATTGTGATGTTTTTATCAGCTGTTTGGAATTTCATTCTGACGGCACCCATTCGCTTCAGAGGCTTCACTGGTGAACATGCTGATGTAATGCTAAATTTCTCCAAATCTGTTCTGATCAAGAAACAAACTCATCTACATCTTGGATGGCCTGAGGG